AAAACTTTGTCTTTAAAATAAGGGTGCGTCTTATATTCCGAAAAATACCGTATTTATAATGGCTAATTTGATTTGTTTTTGACAAAATTATTTCACATTTATAAATTGTTTTCACATTAGATACTGTACATATGAGCAAACGTGGTTTAAAAACATTAACAGTAATGAGCTGACTAGCATGAATACTAATGGTATGAACTCTCCATTAAATAATGTGTAGTCTAAGAGCTTGCAGAAGTAAAGAGTCAGTGGTTCACAAAGTAACAGATCCTGTTCAGTATCGAATGTAAACACAAGCTGAATATTTGTCATTACATTAAGAACAATAGTTTTGTTTTTATTGCTTAAAGACTAATGTTGGCTGAAACATTGTACTTTCAACTATTTTACACATTCCATATTTAGTCATTTGAACTTTATCTTTTCAGTTTCGGTTTCATTTCTTAATCCTGACTTATACTTTACCCATTAATAGCAACTACCAGGAAAGGGTTATGTATTTCAGTTTTTTAAAAAAGAAAATATTCATTTTCATTTATATCACTAAAAGAAATTGAAATTTTTCTTAAAAATTAGGTATATTTCTTTGCAAGTTTATTTAAGTATATAACTTGAAAAATATTAAATTTAGGAAATGGTAAAGGACACTCATCATGATATATTATTCTGAAACATGTGAACAATTTGAAATACGTTTGAGGTCTGCTATATTGCTTTACAGTATTGTATTAAATACATTTATGTTGCATTGCAAAATAACATTTTAGCATTTTTATGAAATGAATTTCAGCTTGCATGTAAATCGTTAGTGGAATAAAAATGTATAAAATGACAGTAAGATGAACAGGACTACAGACTACAATACGTAAGGGTTCTGACTAAGTTGGAATAAAAAATTAATACATACAACACAGACAAGAAAGATTTGAGATGATGCCTATTTATTTCTATCACTGGAACAAAACTCAACAATCACAGAAATTCAAATTTACAATAGATAAAGTCGTTGCTCGTTGATAATACTATCATAACTTGACAATATCAAGATTACACAGAAAGACAAAGTTTGAAGAAATAGTTTCATAGAAATTGATAAGTTATTGTCAAAATTTCAAAACACAGTAACTGAATACACTTATGCTTCATGGTTTAAGCTCTCATGAGTTAACTGTAAAATGAAAGCAAACTATTACCTTTCTTATCACTGGATTAATACAATGAGCTACCTGTGTCTGCGGACTTACAACGCTAGAAACCGGGTTTCGATACCTGTGGTGGGCAGAGCAAAGATAGCCCATTGTGTAGCTTTGTGCTTAAATAAAACAAACCAATAATCTTCATTAAACAGTATTAAAGGCAGAATCATGAAAACCTTCTCATACTTTTAAATATGCAAACTGTATCAATACAAAATCTTACATTAGACCATAAATAAAACTTTGGAACCTGAAGTGAAGTTTAACTCCACTTGAATTAGGTAATAAGGTAAGGAGAAGTACGTATATTAAATGAACTGAGTAACAAATTCAGTTTTGTTTACTTTCACTATTGATAACCAATTAGAAGAGAGGTTAATTTTATGCTTCACATTCCATTAACTTTATTCACTGGAAAAGTATATTCAAGACTCAAAAAACACTAAGGTTTCAGTAACACCTTAGTTAGTACAAATTATTGTCAAACAAAATATAAGTTTAAAACTCTCGGGCCAAATTTAGTACTAGCATTCAAAATATCACTACTAAAAAAACAACAGATTTGAAGAAAAAACAACAACAAGCACATGCACTAACAAACCTACAATTTGAAAGAAAAGAAATAACCTATCAGAAATATCATCAGAAGCTTATAGAACAAGAATATCTTATCGGCATACAGATAAAACATAGTAAGTACATAATATCAAAAAGATACAAGTAGAAAAAAAAACTTCAAAATCAAAATAACAAACCATTACCAATCTATTAATACAATATGGGAAGTAAACTATGTACCAATCTCACGGCAAAAAGTTAGTAAAACATATTATTGTTCAAGTGATCAACTACCAATCTCAAAATACAACTTAGAAGACAAAACACCAATCTCATAATCCAAAGACAAATTAAAGTAACTAAGAAAACTATATATATCAATCCCATGACAAAATATGTTTAAAAGTGCTATTCAGAAGGCAATATACCAACCTCAGTAGAAAAAAAAAAAAAAAGATAAAAGAAATGACTAATATAAGATTAAGTTATTTAAAAGACAAAGTATTAATTTCTAAATACAACACAGGCAAAAGGAAGTCCTTTTTACAGCACTGCAATTCTGATAAAAGAATGAAAAAAGTTATATATAATAAGTTTTAATTAATATAACACTAATATATATATAAAACAAAACAAAACAGAAGACCAATTAGCAATCTCAAGATACAATGAAGACAACAGCAATATATTTAAAAGATCAATCACTAATAGTATAATTTAGCATGGACACAGATATAGAACATTAAAAAATAAAAATGGAATAAGCCACAATACAGCATGGATAGAAAAAGACCATTCTGAAGATTAGGACAAAATCATGAGGATAACACACAACAATGCCAATAACCAGATAATCACAATAAAAAATAAAGGTTTAATTCACAAAACAAAATGAAACATCAAAAAAGCATAGAGAATACACTATACAACTAACAACATGAGTAAATCACAGACAAGCTCAAAAGTACTCAATAAGTTAAGAGATTGACCAATCCTTGCTTCAGGTGGATATATATGTACTGGACAAAAGAACCATCTGCTGGAATTATACAAGACATAATATTTATGTAAAATAAGAAGTAGTATTATCCAGTAAGAATACAGTTGACACTAACACTCCAATCTAAGTTTACTAAGTAGTAGGTAAAATAACATTCCTTGGGTAAATAAACCAAAATCTTTATCATTTTTTATATGCATTATAGTTAAAGTTTGAAATACACAGTAAATATAGCAAAAAGTTGCAACTGCACTAAGACTCTGACAGAGCTCTCTATTAATGTTAACAATCAACATCTGATACAAACAAACATTAATAGTGGATAACAGGCAAAGATGTAGATCTATAATAATGTTAACAATCAACATCTGATACAAACAAACATTAATAGTGGATAACATGCAAAGATGTAGATCTACAATAATGTTAACAATCAACATCTGATACAAACATTAATAGTGGATAACATGCAAAGATGTAGATCTATAATAATGTTAACAATCAACATCTGATACAAACAAATGTTAATAGTGGATAACAGGCAAAGATGTTTAAAATTACATCTTCGTTTTTCTCACAGAAGCCTACTTGAAGGCTGAGGACAATTAGTACAGCTAAACGGAAAACAAATGTAAGTACAACAGCCACAAAATGACTAGCACAACAGAGATGTCATTACTTCTACTACTACCAATCATCTTAAAGAGATGGTGCCATCTTTGAAAACACATTTCCCATTGTCTCCTCACATCTCTTTGTGAATCAAACTGATTAAATATATTTACATACCTCAACAAAGTTAAACAATGATGATTGTAAAAAAGCTTGTAAATCAGTTAGGCATAATGTTATTCCATATTTGTATATCTCGATTTTAACCAAGCTTCCAGATATATGAAGAATTTAGATAAAACCTCTTATTGAATACATCACAAAAAAAAAAGTTATTTCGCCTATAAAATATAATCAAAATTGTAAAAAAGTCAACAATTAATTTACAACTGAATAATCATGGCAAAGAACAGGTTATTTATTTAATAGCTCTTCTGGTTCTTCAAACTCTGTCTCCTGTAAATGTTTGGATGAAGGGCAAATACACAAAAATACTTTGGATGAGTTCCACTAACACATTTAGAGCATCATAATATCTGTTAATATGCTTAAAAGATTATACAATTTTTGTTGCATGTATAAGCATATTAAAGATAGGTTTTAGTAATGTAAGTGATTTAAATTATCTAAGTTTTAATGATATAAAAGATGTGGTAATGAACTAACAATATGGATTGGGGACAAAAATGTATTCCTCATAAGCACTAGCAAAGCTGGTTACTACACAGAACTAACTTATATCCTACTAACAAGAACACTGAACACTTTAATATAATAACAAACTCAAATTACATGAGCTGATAACTTTATAAAGCAAGTTATATCATGCTCAAATCAGAAAACATCAACTAACTAATAATTTATTACTATAGCCAACATTAAAAGAGTTTTAAAACAATAAGTACCATGTCTGGTTTTTATTTTCATTAAAATCAGGCATTTTGATCCAAGTTAAAGCATGTGACCCATTTAGTTGTTTTGTTTTTATACATTAGTCTGGTTTGGGGAAATATCACCTCTCATCTGTAAACCAAAGAAAGCTACAGAGTGTCACATCATGTTAAAATACACGTCACTTATTATTCAAATACCTATATTAATGTGTATTCCTTTGCAGTGAATAAAATGTTACAAATAGTAATAATAAAATTTAAATAATCTAGAAAATAGCTGGCTAATAAAACACCCTATAAAAAGTTCCGAACCAACTGAACTGAATTACTGATGTGAGAAACTAGTTAAAATACTGTAGATGTAAAACTAAAATCAGGTGCACTATGAGCTATGAATCTAACATATATGATGTTCTAAGTAAAAGTATGCTGTACATAACTTTTACCATGTCATCTCTAAAATAATATCTATACAAATTAACGTACCACCATAATGAAGCTTCAGCTTTAATGCTGTGTCATCGATCATAGTAGTTCACATTTTACTACCTCGTATGCTAGATAGAACATACTGTTTTATCCAGTTAGTGGAACCCATCACAAAGCTGTACAGAAGAAATCTTACATGAAATTATTAAATTATACAACAATTCATAACATTCCCAAGTGAAAATTATCATAAATCCCAATTTTCTTAGTTACAGAATCTTTTACTACACAAAACATTTGTGCAATGCACACACACACACGCACAGTCTTGTTTAACATTCCCAAAAGAACATGGACATTCCAGACATTATGTTCAGCGAATCAGAACAAAAAGGAACCTGGCAATATCGTGTAAGATAATTTGAGTTTGTAACACTAGAACATAAAACAATGTCAAATCAGGTAATAAATCTCATGGTTTATCTATACTAAGAAAAAACAGAAATACAAACAGCTCCTGCTTCTCTTTCAATGTTTAAATATAGAGGTTTAAAACATTACACACAACAGAAATTTAACCAATTCTTTTATAAAAACATTAAAATGTGAGAGCAGCTGGTACTGCACCTGAAGCAATTAATTTTCTTTTGTCTTCAGTTATACACATCTACATTAATATAGTAAGTTTCTGTACGAAATAAATTTCACCAATTATTAAATCATTCTTATATTATATAAAATCAATTTGCCATTACATTCACGAGTAAAGATTTTTTTATTAAACAATCCAGAAATAGTTGTAATTGCTCTGGAAGAAAATAAATGTAAATTTCAAAACCCTTTGTTTAATAACTAATATATCAATATCTTTAATGTATAAATCAGACAATGTCACAAAATTATCTATACAGAACACGAAATTCTGATCTATTTCCAGAACAGGCTATTCTATATGAAAAATCTTAATGAAAGTTTTACATTTCTTGATTACTACAGACTCTATAGCACCATTCATTAGAATTCATGGGTATTCTTTGAAACCTCAACACTATTTGGAAATAACTTCTTTTATAACTAAGTCTGACTATAACTTCACTAAGCATTGTTTACCTTGTTTTCCAACTTCAGGAAGTCCATTTACATGGAATTTAATGGGTACATCAGCACTAAAATTATCATCATCTTAGTAAATAAAGAGTTAACACTTAAGACTACCTTATTGCCAGGATCCTGAGCCTTTGACCAAAATAAATTAGCCAAACTAAGGGGGAAAAAAAAAGAGACTAAATGAGACCTTTACACGACATTCTGTGCAGATTTTAAACCTATCTGTGGCACCATGGTCAGATTCCTAGAGGAAAATGTAAACATATTACTTGGGATACTAAATATAAAACACTATTAACATGCATAGTAATACTTTCTAAGTATCTTGACTTGGAATAAGATTAATACTTTACAGATTAAAAAAAGTATATAACAGAAATAATTTACTAAAGCAGGCCATATTGTTACACTTGTTTATTTAAACCCAGTATGAAAGTGAGCTGAGGATTGCAATATATACAAATCAAGAAAATTTTTAAACAATAAAATTATATTTGTATACATATCTTCAATGTTGGATTACATTTTCAAGTTCAACTAGATTTACAAAAAAAAAGCAAAATACTTTGTTGGACCCTGAGGTGTGGATGGTATATTCATTCGAACTTATTTAAAAGAGTAAGGGATACACAGACATACAATGGTTATTACTGGATGACCCCCTATAAGAAGTTGAGCACTATTGCAAGGAAAATGTCAAGTATTGTAAGCATCTAACAAACATTTGGTTAAACAGTGAAGTAATATCAAACAACCTGTCAGTTAAGAAATATCCAGTGAACTAATACCCAACAACCTGTCAGTTAAACGATATAACCAATGAGATAGCACCCAACAACCTGTCAGTTAGACAATATCCAATGAGGTAATATCCAAAAACTTGTTATTTAGACAATAACCAATGAGGTAGTACCCAACAATTTGTCATTTAAACAATATCTAATGAGGTGGTATTCAATAACCCATCATTTAAACAATAAACAAGGAGGTAGTACCCAACAATTTGTCATTTAAACAATATACAATGAGGTGGTATTTAATATCCCATCAGTTAAACAATAAACAAGGAGGTACTACCAATAAAAATCTATTGTTATAATGGGTCAGGAAAGTTAGCTTAATGATGGCTATAATCAAAACACAAATATACTGGTGAATAAAGAAAAAAACCAGTGTTCATAAATATCACTCCTAACAATTTAGCTAGACCTAGCAGTAGACAAAAGGAAAGAGAAGTAGGTTTACAGGAATAAGTCAAGCAGATTTTTGTACTAGCCTGGTTTCTGAATGACTTCTTAAAACAAAGTAAAGGATGGACCAAGTTCTGAGAACCCATATATCATAAATCCTATCACAAAGTAATATCATGAATAGCCAAAATTTCAACACAGTAGGCAAAAGACAAGTATGTTTTTAGAATAACTGCTCATTAAACAAATGAAATATTCTAATCCAAGAAGTGAGAATATTAAGCCAGGAAGAGAACCTGAAACAATACTGGTACTACAACTAGCAAACAACCAGGTTTTCAAATGGACTTAATGTAATTATGCAATATTTGTAAGAATTTCAAAATTCCATATTTTGTAGTTTTCAGATTTATTCCCTAAAAAAAGGAAATGTTATAAAAGAAGAATGTTTATGAACGTAAAATAAATTTTCTAGTTCTTCAACTCTTGAAAGAAATTAACAACACACTGACCAATCAACTCATGAAGTTAATGGCTTCTAGATAATGAAGTCTGTGGCTTAATTATTCTGTACAAAACCTTTAATTCTCACAACTCTGCAAATATTAGTTGTCAGTTACAGACAACTACAATGCAACTTTTCCTTGAAGAATTGATTTTGTTGGCAGAGTGCAGGAAATTTAATATTAAAAAATATTGATTATTTTAAATTCTGGGATTCCATAATAAGTTGAGGAATATTGGGCACCTTTCATACTGCGGATAATCATCAAATTTCAATGTATTTTGGTGATGTTTAAAATTATTTTTTTACAATAACAAGTAAAAAGTAACATAGCTACAATTTACTGTTAAAAATATTGATTATTTTAAATTCTGGGATTCCATAATAAGTTGAGGAATATTGGGCACCTTTCATACTGTGGATATTTATTAAATTTCAATGTATTTTGGTGATATTTTTTAATTATTTTTTTTATAATCACAAGTAAAAAGTAACATAACCACAACTGATACATATCAAGAATATTCATAATGTGTTGTAATAAAATTTTTCTGAAATTAATGTAATAGTACAAAATTGATTAGTACTAGTAGCTATAGATAAATAGAGATAAAGAAAAACTTACTATAAACCCATTTGGTTAGCAAAAAAACCTTTCATATGTCTGTGAATTCAAAAATTCACCTAAGCCCCATCTGTTGTGTTTACTTATGTCTGAGCAATATTTCCAATACAAGAACATTGGTAAGTTTATCTTAAATGAATAATTATTGTTTGAAAATCAACATTTTCTGATAGAATATTTGGTTATAAGTTTAACCACCTAAGCTACTGTTACGTTGAATAAATGTCACTTGTGTATTCATAGTCCCCCTTACAACAACTTTCTATTTTTGTAAACTGGGTATTAACAGCTTATTTAATTAAAGGTTAACTTACACAGATCATGGCAGTGGCACCATCACTTGGACATAGCTCACAGGAAATAGGCCTGAGCGGCCATTCATGGTGCCTTCATACCAGTTTTCATCAATTCGGCACACAAGATTGATCACGTCCCCTTCCTTGAAACCCAACTCTCCCTCATTTTCTGGATCAAAATCATAGAGGGCTTGGCAGCAAGGCTGCTGACGCACTGGTGTTCTAGCTGGAGAACGAACAGGAGAAGGAAGTGGAGAGGCTGGAGGACCATTCCATTGTTAGAAAAACAAAACTAAACCAGAAGTACTTTCACCAAGTTAAAGTAATAATGAAATACAAAATAATAACAGTTTATTAATATTAAATTTTTTAAAGAAGGTATGACACACTTTTTAAATGATTTAATTTTCACCTATCAATTTATCAATATAAAAACATTCCTTAGAGATATTTATACATAAATACGATACAAGCACTTTTAAAAAGTTCCAGCAAACTAAAAATAAATTTCTTCATAAACAACCTGTAAACAACAGACAAAAGATCTGATTATATACTTTAGAGAATTTCCCATAATATTGAGATTGTCATTTTTTAAAATTAAACATGAAACTTTTTGCTATAATTACAGAGAAATTATACACTTAGGAAATGTTTTCATAATATCTTTATTACCAAAACTATATTACAATCCCCAAAAATCGTATTTGTCTTTGATGCAAGTAACAACCGTAAGTTGTATTTTACTGATTCTACTGGACCTACATTACTCACAAGAAGAACATCAATAAACCCAGAAAAATTTATAACTTCAGACTTCACTAATATATAATTAATAGTAATATCAAGCCTAAATTAAACTCTAATATCTTACACTATGTATAAAACTACAGTTTGCTCACAAAACTAAAAAACTTGGCTGATTTGCAAGCAATATACCTGTATTTCAGAAGACCATACAAACAAAAACAAAAGAAAAGAATGAAGTAAGGAAATTAACACAGTTAGCCACTTCTTTATACTTTATAAAGTGTAATATAGTTTTTCACTCTTTTAATTATCAAAGAGTTAAAAACTTCAGTTTTTTTACTTAGAAGTTGGAAGTTTATTTTAATTAATTATAAATAAGTTGAGATTGAAGGTGAATATATCAGCAGAAAGAATATTACTTAAGTGATTTCACAGAACACATTTCTAAATACAAGAAGCCAGTTAGAAAGATACCATTAGTAAAGCAGTAGTAAAACTCAGTATAGCCAGTATTTCATAGTGGTTTTGTAGTTTCTAGTATTAAAAAAAGTATTTGATATTTTATAATTAGAATGTTAAATGGTAACTACAATAAACATGGAGATAATAAAACTTTTAATTTGTATTATAGCAACATTGAAATTCTCATTTTTCTACAGGTTGAACAATGGGCCACTTGAGTCATGCCCACTACAGGTATTGCAACCCAGTTTTTAGTGTTACAATCCCTCAGACTTGCTGCTGTGCCATGGAGTAGCTTTTCTACAGATAGATGGCAAGCAATAACAAGCTAATTTGACCACATTTTACCACTAGTAAATACTAGCTCAATGAAAGCATGAAATATATTAATAAAACAGGAGCGTTAGTACCATTAGGAGAGCGACTGGGTGAACGACATGGTGATGTGGCACCACCAGTGGAAGGACTTCCATGCCCAGTTAGAAACAGTGTATCAGGGTGGCGTGGGTTAATAGGAGATGATGCAGGAGATCGAGCAGGTGAAGCTAATAGGAGACAAGAGTGACAGGGTTCACTCAGTAACATTAGCACAAATATAGAAACTAGAACAAATTAGCATATTAATTACAAAAACTGGAAGAATAAAAAAGTCCAGAATAATAAGTAGAATAAAAGAGCACATTGATTAAAGGAGATGGCCAAAATACAATTAAATAAAAGAAATTGTTGTACTAAAGACACAGGCAAAACACTTTTAATAAATGTGCATCAACGAAACACAACACACTGGAATTGTTTTTCCTTTCCAAATTTTACAACTTCTTTGTAACACAGCGGCTGGTCTAATTATAAAATTACCATTCTGTTTTCTTGTATTTTTCTGGAAAAAGTTTCTATCTAGTTATGAGGATATTTCACATCTTTTATGAAAATAAAAACACAAGTTTCCTTTCAAAAAACATAAAAATTAATATACATTATCACCAATTCTTTATTTTCTAAATAAACCATACTATTTACTTTGAAAATGTAGAATTTACAGCAATTGCTGTTAGCATATTAAACAGATTAAGGTTTTGGCCTAAAGCTTTTCTACCAATAATAATCATATCAAACTAAGTAAATAACCAATAATGAAGTGATCAAAATAAACCAATAAATAATATCAGGTAGGGAAAATAACAAACATGTTTCTTAATACGTTGGCATGTTCTGTCATATATTAATAGTGCATTTACCATTTGCACTAGCCTTTTTTTTATCTCAAAGTGATACACTAGAGAAAAGGCAGCTAGTCAATACCACCCATGGAGATACATAAGTATTGGTTAGGCAAAGCAAACTAGATTAGAAGTTTCTAGCTCACGTTTTCAAAAGAATCATATTGGTGGACAGTTATTATGGATTGCCAACTTTTCAGCACAAATTTACTAAATTTTACGAAATTATCCTAATTAAAACAGTATTTAACATTATGTGGTGCTTGATATGGCTGTACCAATTGCATGGGGGTGATGACAAGATTGGATTGCCAACTTTTCAGCACAAATTTACTAAATTTTACGAAATTATCCTAATTAAAACAGTATTTAACATTATGTGGTGCTTGATATGGCTGTACCAATTGCATGGGGGTGATGACAAGAAACTGTTAATCTTAATTCCATGGCATTACTATAAAGGAAGCTATTAACACTTTTTGAGAGAGGAAAAAATTAGACTATATATTTTAAAGAATCGACTTGGTCCTGTAAAGTAAAAGTCTGTTCTGAATAATATGGTTGTGATCCTAAAGCTAATGTGGGTTACTATCTTACTTGCTGTGGTTTGTTGGTGTGTACTGACAAAAAGTCATGATATCTAATCACAAACACCTTAGGTGTGAAAAAAAGGAGTGGTCAAAAAGGATTAAGTGTGTGACATAAAGGAATGAAATCAAAACTGGTAGCCAAACTTTTAGCTACAATTATAGCATTGATAAGAATTTTACATTACATATTCATTCATTAGTTAGAGAGACTGCACTTTTTGTTAAAGTTGAGGCATGATGGTGGGTAAAATAAAATATGCAGCCTGATATCATGTGCTTTTTTAGGCACAATCCCCTAGTCTAGGGGCATGAAAATCAAGACTAACAAAAACATCATTTCCTACATTTTATGGTCTCTTTTCAAACAATATAAACAGAAATAACACCATGTTTTTAACATCTTAATGATTATTTATTAAATGTGGATGAGAGAGAGAATAAGCACTAAGTGCATATCACTGTACAATGAGGAATATATGGTCATACGACTTATACTAAATTTTCCTTGCTTCTCACTCACTCGGAAGTGTCAGAAATGGCTCCAAAATTATTTAAAAACAGAGAAAGGCTCAGAAAGGTTGCAATTAAAGTGATTCTGGTGAGAGAGTTACTGCAGTATTTACAAAAAAAGCATTTAATAAATCAAAGTATCTGGCTAGGTGAGCTATAATCAGTTGAAGTAGGCAGGCAATTTATCTGGCATCCGGCAAATGAGGAAAACTCTGCTAAACAAACAATAATATTGAAGAGCAGCATACTTTCCTACAATTTGCAATACAAGTGCAATATCAGACCAATATTGGACTCTTTTGTTCAAAAGTTGAAAAAGTATTTTTGAAATATTCTTTATTAGTTTCAAATTCAAAGGAAATAATTGAAAGTGGTAAATCCATCCTCATATTCATGTTACTTATAAGAAAAGAAATCTTGTTCAAAAGGAGGAATGTGTGCGTGTTTTCTTATAGCAAAGCTACATCTGGCTATATGCTGTGTCCACTGAGGGGAATCTGAAGACTTACCACTGTCCCACCAGGGGACCCCGTGATGGACTTCAAAAGAAGGATAATTATAATTAAACATAATGAGTAGATTCCATTTCTCAATGTTACCGAGAATTAAATATGGTACCTATGATGTACTACATAATTCACACTCAATAACTGAGTAAATTTTAAATCTTACTTTTACTTTCCATAAAGAAGCTAAGCATGTAAAAACCAAATTTTACTTTAATTGTGAAAATGAAATTCAGGGAGTCGACAATTTTGTAGTTGGCTCAATGTAAAATCTCAAAGAAACCGATTAAATTATCATAGACAAAAGCATTTGTTTCCCCTCCTTCAATACCTGAAACCATTGGATAAGGAGGAGGGCCTCCATTATAATTCATGGTTATGTCTCCTGGGGATAAGTCATCCTGGATTGCTGGAATGTTCAGTTCTTCAAGTTTCCTGGGTTGGTATGGTTCATGGGGACGTCCCATTGCTAAATTCTTGCTGCGGGATAAAGTGAATGAACTAAATAAAAGTGCAAAACCAGAATATTAAACTAATATGCATGGCAAAAATATTCATTATCATTCAATAGCATAAAAAAAAAATTATGTTTATCATTAATGTTGGAAGAGTCATCACACAGCATTCTTATAAGTATGTCATAAAATTAAATTACAATATTATTTTCACATATAAACATGTAACAAGATCCATGGTGTTATCTTCTTAAGCAATGTAACAAGAACTAGTTTTATTTACAACTATCACACAATATATATTTTTGATGGTATTTTTATGGATCACGTAGGAGAGAGAACTGAACTTTACACACAATACAAACCTTGTCTATGTTTTCTTCATAAATATTAAGCATCATTGACAGTTTATGTGAAGTTAAGGAAGCAAAGAGAATTTCTTGTACATTGGTTATGCACACATAAAATCTGCAATTTACCTGAAACTTATTTGTTGGATTTTGTGCAAAGCTATACGATGACTATCTGAATTAGCCGTTCCCAGTTTTTAAGTGATAAATAAGATGGAGCACAGCTAGTCAACCAATTGACCATCACTTTTATAATGTATCCATGGCCCTACAGTATGGAGAGGTTTTTTTTTGGCAGTAATAGGATGCAAACCACAGAATCTCAGCTTTAGAATTCAGCACATTAACCATTAGGTAATTAAAAATTAAATGTCACAATATACAATAATTTCTTGATTTTATAAACAAAATACTTGTTAATATGTAAAAAAAAAGTAAGAACTTGAACAGGCGTCATATGTTGTGTAAAACCATTTTATCATGATGTTGTAAATAAGTCTTTTAATGCACTTACAAACTAATATGATACTTTAGTTTCTATATTTCAGATACTCCCACTAGGACTATCTGTTCATAATTTTGAGCTGATAAGACTAAAGTAAGGTAGTTAGTTAAGAGCACTCACATCCACCTCTTGGGCTACTTTAATCAAAAAGTGAGATTTCACCCTCCCTCTTATAATGTATCCATGGCCCCAAAGTGGAGAGCAGGATTTCTGCAGTAATACAGCATGAACCATGGGCTCTGAAGATCAACAGTCTGTTACACTAACCAATAATTTAGCTATCTCTGAATGAATACAGTGAATTTTAGACTGGTTAATATCAGTGTAAGGCTTGATGAACACAAATTTCTCAACTGATCCATTTTCAATATAAACAATTTACAAAAAACAAAAAGGAAGACCAAAAAGAGGAACACTGAAATTAGAAAGTCTGTGACATCTAAATGAATACTTTAAAAACGTTATGTTAACTAAATTCAGCTTTCACGAATTCAATATTCATGAAATGTCAGGAACGATCATAAAATATTAACCCTTACGAGACGAGTCACGGGTGAAAGGCCATGTGATCTCATTTGTTGACTCTCATTCAAAATTTTATTGAAGTGCTATTTCATGAATTTATGTCAATAACTTTGGTATCAAATTGTAGATTATAATTCAAATTTTAGTACTATTTATTACCCAATTTCTTAATTTAAAAGCAAATATTATAAAAACACAGATAAACATCAATTTTTGTGTGTCATGGGGTATGTTGAATGCAGCACTGGTTCAAATTAGATGTTTGTGATGTCAAAATACTAAGTATATAGTTTCATACGAATTAGAAACT